AGCAAAGGAAGCAAAGTTTCCTTACTTTAGCAAAGGAAAACCAGTCTCCTCTTGGCTTATATCGAAATCCTCCGAAATTCTTCTTTACAAATCCTCGTTTTGTACTTCTAATAAGTGACCGTTGTTTTGATCTCTCCGCTGCGCTTCCGTATTCGTCACTTCTGAGCGCCGCATGCGCAACGCTGAACTAATACGTCATCCGCCCGGAGCTGCTTCCGTGTACAACTGTTGGCGCAAGCTACATTAAAGTGATTATTACATTTTGAATATGGATATTTTTCTTACAAAAACGCATCGATTCGCTACAAGATGCCTTTGTTCACTCCCCGGGGGGGTGAGTAATTTATGGGCTAATTTTCATTTTTGGGTGAACTAACCCTTTAATCTGTGTTCCAAAGATAAACGAAGGTCTTACAGGTTTGGAACGACATGAGGGTGAGTAATTAATGACAGAATTTTCATTTTTGGTTGAACTATCTCTTTAAGCAAACAGGCAAAAGCCAAAAAAACGTTTTAAACTGTTGATACAACAATTCATGTGCAGGAATGCAAAAATGCAAAGTTTAATTTGTAGTTTTAATAAAAACCCTGGAGCTGTCAAAAATCAGCCAGATGATGCAAAGTGACGTGTTTTGTGTCCTCATGTGAACTTTTACTGACAAATAATATGGGTATCTGAGTGCAGGTAACACGGAGTACACATTGTTCATTTACAAGTACTACCAACATTGCAACAATACAAAGCAGGTTGAAAATGGCAAAGTTATCCTTGAAATGAAGAGTTTATAATAAATTAAATTTCATTCAGTCATTTACTCACACTCATGTCAATTCAAAGCTGTGTGTCTTTCCTTTCATGGAACACAAAAGGAGACATTCTGAAGACTATACCAAAGACTATAGAATACCCAAGACGTGTCACTCTGAAAAATGCAACACTTAATATGGCCGCTCAATCGCAGGAAGCCCCGCCTTCAGAATGAAAGAGCAAATCACTAATCGGTACAGTCAGCACGTCACTGCAGCTGCCGTTAGAAGTTCCGGTTGCTATAGAAACAGTCAGCCTTCTGAGACGTGCGCTCAGGACTGCGCATGCGCACTGGCTGATCTAGCCTGAAAAATAAGCTTTTTATAACGCTATTTGAGCAAAAGAAACAACATTTATGACACAGTTTTTGTCAGATTTCATTGGTGATTTCTAATAAAAAATTTAATCATAAGCATAGTGAACAGTTTTGGAGAATTTGATGTTTCCCCATTCAAAGTGATAGGATCTGCACTTGCATGCCCGAGAGGCGTTTCAAAGATGGCCGCCGAGTGACATGACTTGCCTTAAAGGGACTTTGACTATACTGGCCACAATTGTTAATGGATTTATGATGAGCTGTGACTGAATTGCTCAAGATTCAAATATGACACAAAGACACCATTGAAGTAATATAATAATGATTTAAAATTCAGATTTAAATTCAATGAAAATCTTCAGTTCCAGTGAGCTTTTAAACTCTGCAACCAGATTAAGTTGAGTGAACTGAAGCTTGATGTGCGAATCAGCCCAGTTTGTGAACAAATCATTCAGAATGGATTTGTAAAGATCCAATTCAAAATAATTTTCATTTATGAATCAGACATTGACATTCTTTTGGAAGATTCCCCTATTCATTGTAATTGCACTGAAAAGAGCAACCATAACTACTTTTTGAAATATGTTTTGTAATACACAGAAGTAAAAACATAAAGGTTTGGAGTGACATGAATAAATAGCAGAATTTTAAGTTCTGTGAGAAGAATCTTTACATTTCTTAAAGATGTACGGACACAAAACCTCAATAAACCTTTGTGAGGTGATCTCTGAAGTGACTTGAACACACAGGCCTCAGTCATTATACATGAGCAGAACCAATGTGTGTAAACTGAAAAATCGTTCTTACATAATGAATAAATTGAACACTGAATGGAAGGGTTTTATGAAAGAAGTCCATTATACGTATACTCGGACATATACACATTAGGTTAAGATAAAAGGATATTAAATCTCTAGGTGCTCTGTGTTCAAGTGTGAGATGAGCAGCAAAGTCATCTGTCACATGATTGGGGTCGCCACCAGGCAAAGCTGCACAGATTGGGCAAATCTGAAACAGAGAATAGATACATATTAATAATTAATCAATGTAACCTCACATTGGATGGACATACTTATTCATGGTTGCATTATTTTCATTACAATTAAAGCTAATATTTAAAGGTACAAAGTAACAGAACATGGTTGAGCTGTAGTGCATAAATGGTACTTCATGGATTCACTCATTAATATTACTAGTCCAAATCCCACACCTAATTCAATCTGAAACAAATCTAAAGGGTGGATTCACACAGTGTAAACTGAACATAATGCATTGCTATGGAATCCTCAGAAAAGTGGGATAGGCACAAAAGGTTTGTTGTTACGTAGCATGGGCTTCATTTTGAAAAAATAAATAATAGTAATAACACTGGAAAACCAAATCTTTGTGGTCATGTGTCTGTAACCAGCACACCAGACAGATGAGGAGCTGTTGATATTCTTATAATTGAAAGACAAAGAGTGTAAAGTCATAGCAGCAAGAAGAGTCAAAAGATGTGATATAAAAAGCAATTGCAGATTATTATTACTACTACCAGAACAGAAGACCACTATTATCATTATTTTGCGGTAATATATCCCTATTTCTCTCTATTATATTATCCATCTTCCATTCCAGGAGAGCAAGAACATGTTTAACATTTTAAAGCAAGTGCATTTTGCATTAAAAGCACATAATGACTAGTTCAGGAATTTGACTTTTTCTCCCAGTGGTTGATGAAAATGCACATCACTTTCTTAGTAAATATTTTTGGTGTAAATTCCTGCAGATGATCTGTGTTTGCTGTGAACAGGCATTATTTTAAATACTACATCAAACTTTGATGATAAAGGTCTTAAGAAAACCTGACAATGTTCTACAATAGGGCTGGGTTGAAAATAATGATTTTAATCTATTCTTATTTTAATGAACCGACATTGATTTGTAAATCCCAAGAATCGATTTATGCTGTTTTCAGTTGATGTGCTCATTCAAATATGTGATTTGTATAATCTTAAAATGATTTAATTTTATTTTATTTTATTTTTTTATTTTAATATCGTTGAGCATGACTTTAACAGTCAATTAAAGTGACAATGGATTATTTATCTCAGATATTGAAAGTAAATAAAACTTTACAAGTCAAAGCTGTGAACTCTATACAAAGATTGTATCAGTAAATATGTATATAGTTTTAATTTTTAAATGGTTTAGTTTTTATTGATTTATGTATTCTAGTGCAAAACAGCAAACATGCTTCTTTTGGTTGATTTTGTTGCATCTAGTGTGGACAGGCTTTTTGCTTGTCACTGGAATCTTATCATATCCCGTTTAGTTAGGAGACTGATTAAAGGGGTCATATGATGTTGCTAAAAATAACATTATTTTGACACATGATTTTAGCAAAGACAGCATGTGTACTCACCACCTCTGTAGAGGTCTCTGCATGCTCTGAGGTCACGTGCTCCTGTAGAGATGTTTCCGTGTAGCCCATTTTACCACAGTAAGGACAAGTAAATGACTGAGGTTGCTCTACTGAGAATGCCTCCCCCCCATAATACAAGTCTGCAGAGAGTACAGATAAAAGTCAAACACAATCTCTTCATTTACCATCACCATCATTACTAAGATCAGGGCTCAACAGTCAGGATGGTCTGTTCATATTCTGTAATGTTTTGAACATTACAATAAAATGTTTTTTAAGAAACAGATTTTCTTGTAAGGCTGTATGATATTTTGAAAAAAAAAACTGACACCTCGATATTTAGTTTTTCTGTGATATATATATATATATATATATATATTGTGATATGAAAAATACAGGAATGTATTTTTAGAATGAACCATTCTAGAATGAGTTGGGTGATTTTGTTCTATAGTGCAAAATATAAATAGTAATAATATATATATTTTTCCCTTTAGGCCTGCACAATTTGAGAGAATCTTTTTTAGTAACAATAAAGTGAAGTTTTAAAAATCACTCTCTGACAAGTTTTCACCGGGCACTAGGCCTGTCAAAATGGCTGAAAAATGAAATTCGAATTTTGTACTTAAATATTATCAAAATTCGAATTATATTCGAATTTAAAACGCATAATTTCAGTTAGGGTGAAGAAAAGCTTTTGAATTCTCTCCTGAGGCCACAAGAGGGCGCATCGAGCAAAATATTACTAATGCACGTACTCAAAGCATAAGATATAACATGACTGTCTGTGAAAAAAGTGCATAATGTTTAAAATAATGGAGTTGCAGTGGGATGGGGAAAAAACCCCGCCATAAAGGCTCGAGATATGTTTTTTCAAAGTTGAACTTGCATTAATTTAAATTTTAATTTCTTTCTAAACATACGGCTCTTTTGTGCGAGACGAGAGTGCAACAGTAATAGATGTCCCTCTAGAAAATGACCGAAATACGTGTCCTGTGTGAACGGCTTGGTTTCAGTTTTGATGTAAACAAGATCTTCTTCTCTGCATTGATGTTCTCTTTTCCCGCAATATTTGTCATTAACGCAGCAGCGCCGCATCTAGTGGGTTCAACTGGATAGGCTAACAAAAACATTAAAATGCAATGACACTTACATCATCGCATCTCGTGTGCCACTGATAAGGCTGCCTCCTTAACGCACACCTAAAATTCGAATGC